CGAGAAGTGCAAAGCAGATCACAATTCTGAAAACAAAATAACAAATTACAAACGCAAATGCAAGTCTAAAAAACAAAATAACAATTCAGAAAGCACAACAACAATTCAGAAAACATTATAACAAGTCAGAAAACACAATGACAAATTCGAAAACAAAATAACAAGTCAGAAAACACAACGACAAATCAGACAAACCGGAAGAGGTAGGTATAGTTTGAGACAGCGCCATTGGTTTGGGATTACTCACCGCTGACTGGACGAGACATCTGTCAATCAACGTATACAGGGAAGAACCAGCTGAAGAACAGCAGAGTCGTGGTAGAAAGTTCGGAGATGGTATTAAAGTAGCTCGGTTTAAATGTATTGTATGAATTGCCCTTACTATGGAATAAAAAATACGGGGTGTCTATTTACATTGTTAAAAGTGGCTGTAAATCATCAGCTCCAGTGGAGCAGATGGATAAGCGCGTGACCTTGACTTTTTGACGCGATCGACCTGGGTTCGATCCCGCCTTTTGCCGAACTTTTTTTTCCTCCCTTTTCAAATCTCGTATTAGCAATGGATTCTATTTACACTAAGTGAAAATAGCAGTATTTTTAGCAATATGCTATTTAAACTAAGTGCAAATACCTATTTACACTATGTTAAAATAGCAGGATTTCTATGTATACTACTTGTTGCAAATAGTGGCAATTATCTGCACTTCAGTATTGTAGTATGCAATAATAACGTATTGAGTGTAAATTATAATTTTAATTATTAAATGGATGCCACCTTATTGGTACAATAAAGCCCTCCCTACCCCTACCCTAACCCTACCCGATACTTTATTTTCAACTTTTTGATTATTTCCTTAATTTTTATTGAAAATAAATGCCTTTACGATGTGATACGAGATTTGAAAAGGGAGAAAAAAAAAGTTCGGCAAAAGGTGGGAATCGAACCCGGGTCGATCGCGTCAAAACACCAACGACACGCGCTTATCCATCTGCGCCACTGGAGCTGATGTCTTACAGCCACTTTT